AATTTTTATTTAATATAAATTTTATCAACATAAACTTTCATGAATTCTTATGAATGCAAATGTCCAGCTTTTAGGAATTCTGTCTTTAATTTTTTTCTCCATTCGAAAAAAAAATTTAAAATATTTCAGATGTTACAGAAAAACTGAAACAACAACAAAAAATTCTTCTGTAGCCTGTATTTTGCTTTTGGTGTATTTGTTTTCATATGTATATGTTTGAAAACATTTTTAGGTAGAATAGAGAATAACATGAAGTAGGTAGAGTTTATGTGCTTCTTAAAAATAATTTGGAACTGATAAACTCTGATTAAACAACTTTAAATCTTTGACTGAAATCTTAGTTTTCATTTAAATGAGAAGGTATTTTGGTCTGAGGTCAGTTGAAGCCAGAGTGTAGTTTTCTTTTTGTAAAAATGATTTATTCAAAAAGGATCTTTATTCTATTCCCTTTTAAACTACCTAAAGTATGGTAGAGAGATAAAAGCTTCAGTAAGAGAATTTTTCTCTGATGTTACTGTAGTTGGGTTTATTTGACATTGTTAGCACACATAGTTATATTTTTAGTCTCCCATGAAGAAAAAACTGTAAGATTTGCAGAACCAAAATACTTGAAGGCTAGCAACAGTAGAAAGTGAAAGTTAAGACTTTTCCTTTTGGGGCTGGGGATTTAGTTCAGCGGCAAAAGCGCTTGCCTGGCATGTGCAAGGTCGTGAGTTCGGTTCCTGTACCGGAGAAAAACCAAAAAAAAAAAAAAAAAAAGACTTTTCCTTTGTTCCACAAACTCTTTATGGAGGGCCTGTAGCGTGCCAAATTCTGTTAGTACAAAGACGTCTCCCCTGTCTTCAAGCTGCTCACAACCTACCTAGTTAATGTGGAGAGGTCATTCTAGGGATTGACACCAGGCTCTTTACCTGAAGATGTTGTTGTTAAATTAGAAGACTAAGATAATTAATGTTGTATAATGGAAAAAGGCAAATCTCTGATTGTATTTCAGTATTTGCAAAATCAGAAAAAGCAGAACTGAATAGTGAGAGGTGAACAAAAAATGTAGCCTGGCTTCCTGTTATTTTACAGACATAAATTGTCATAAGTCTGTATTGATAATGATGAGTAAATGGAAAATTCTTTTTTATGTTTGCTGTCCTGGATTTCTGTCTTAGATTTATGTTATGTGTAGCTTTTACATTAATGATCTACCTTTCTCAGTGCAGTCTATCAGCTCTAAGATTTAGTTTCATTTAAATTCCATTGTTTTGGGGTGGAGGTAGATACTAGGAGTTGAACCCAGGGCCTTTGCACTGAGCTACATCCTCCCCCCACCTTAAAATTTTATTTAGGGACAGGGTCTCACTAAATCACTAACCTGCCCAGGCGGGATTTGAACTTGTACTCCTCCTGCCTAAGCCTCCTACAGAGCTGGGGTTACAGGCTGTGCCACCATGCCCATTTTAAATTCCATTCTTAGTACTGTTAGTAATACACATCATGTGTGTTTCTCCTTGGTGTGTTTACAGCAAACCCCCAAAATTCATGGGGGTTGTGTTTGTAGAGCACCCATGAATTGTGAAAAACTGTAAATTTCAGATATGGTCAGAAAAATGCCTATTTTTGTAGTGTAAACCCTAAATCTGCCACATCTCCCACAGTTCTGTAGTTTACAGTAATAAAATAACTATATTTAGAGCCATAGGAGGTGCGGGATGTTTTGGCAGCATCTTAGGGGTCTAAGAACAAATCTGAGGACACTCAAGACAGCTGCATGTGGTGGTACAGCAGCCTGTTGTGATGTGGGAGTGCTGTGCATCTGCCACAGATGGGTTACAGAGCAGCAGCCAGTCAGCAGCAAGGAGAGCTGAACACTGCTCTCGGATTAGCTACTTGCAAACCTCCCACCAATAAAAATGTGGCATATATTTGCGGGTTTTGCAAAATGGCGGATTTCTGTGAAGAATTATTAGGTTCTAAGGAAAAGTTGGAGAACGACAGAGGCCACAAGCTCTGAACTGCGAACTGCAATTTCATGGGGGTATAGTGTATTCTTACAGCATATTTACATAAAGTGGGATAAACATTGAATTTTGATGTCTTACTAAAAATCTTTTAAGTGATTTGCTTAGTATTTTTCTGGGCCATGAAGTGGGGCATTGCACTGTCTGCAGCTACACTGTGGTTGTAGATGATAATGACTCAGAGGAGGTAGTCTGAATCATATATTCTGTAACATTAAGCTACTTTAGATAAACCAGTTTTCCATTTTATAGAAGTGATTTCTGTTTTTAAGCAATATAATAGTAATGTAAGGATATATGACATTCAGAATTATAGGTATTTGGTGATTGAGTTTTTTTCTATGCAGGACACTGTTGCAGTGGCTGGATTTATTTTGTCAGCATCTCGAAGATGGTAAACATTAAAACCATTTGAAGACTTCGATTTTTTGTGTAAGTGCAACTTTAATTCTCTCATCATACTGTTTTATTCAGTGAATTAAAGATGGGAGAGAAGTAGTATTTCTATAAATCTACACATAATCTACTAAGTCTGACCGAATTATTTTACTCAGTTCAAACTTTCCCACTGAAGGTTCAATAGTAGAATCTGCTGGAAAAAATGGACAATAGGTAGATTAACAGGAGAAAACCCAAATTCATTAATGTGCAATATGCACAAGAGCCCTACGTAGTAAAACATTCAAAGAAGGGCCAGATAGTTGAGACTCAATACCCTCTTCAGAAGAAATAAGGGAGACAGCAGTTTTAGAGGCAAGAATGAGTTAGAACAGACAGTATCCCGATACAAAGTCTTTTGGGTGCTGGCTGTGTTGTCCAGTTATTAGTCTCTTTCTCTATGATAAGAGTTTAATCATCCTTGGTAAATGGAATTTCTGTGAGAATATCTGAAGCTAGTCATGTTCCTCTTTAGGAGAGATGGTCTTTAGTTAGGTAAGGGAACCTCAGAGAAAGCCATTTTTGTTCCCTAGGTGCCCTCAGTTTGAAGTCCAAAGTAGTGTATTGTGGGCATCATTTTCTGAGCCCTAGCAGTTGAATAAATTCACATTTGAAAAAAAATGATTTTTTTATTTAGAATAACTCCAGATACAAAAGAAAGGTTCTCTATAGATACAATCATAAATCTCTTAATGGTGGTAGTCATGAATTTGTTAGTGTTCTAAGCAATGTGTAATTGTAGAGTGTAGTTACTTGAACTGGGATAGCTATTATGTCACTAGGTAAAATAATGTTATGGGCCTGCCATCATATATGCAGTGAGAATGTTATTAGCATATAACTATTAATGAAACTTGCAGATGTGGACATTGACTCGCTCATCCAATTCTTTGTAATAATATCATCAGGCACTTTTGAGAGTTTACTTGATATCATTGTAAATTAATAATGGTACCTTTATAAGTAAAATGCATTTTCTGCTATTTTATTCTTTGTAAAAATGATTATTCTCTTTTTCCTGTTCAACTCTTTTCTGCTATACACACTTGAAAACCACCTCTTTGGTCAGACCTATTACATAGAGTTGGGCCAGGCGATGACCCTGCAGGCGCACATCTGTCTGATTTTTTTTCTAGTATGCACCAAGATAAGAGTACCCCTGTTCGATGTCAATTTTAATACGGTAGGTTGAATATGGGTGGGATTTACAGTGGTCATTACTACATTTTCTTTCCTTTTTCTTTTTGAAAAAGTCCAGGGTCCTATGCAGGAAAATTTTTGAATATCAGCTCAGATTTTCTACTTACTTTGGACGGATAAATCTCTTTTACATTTTGTCCCGAGAACTGGGTATTGATGTATTTAAAATTCATTGTCTATTTTTTAAAGTACAGTTTCATTTTGAACTTACATCTTTTAACTTTTTAATTGTAGTCCAGACAACTTTGCGTGTCACTCCTAGCGTGTAATCTGTAACATGTAATGCCTTTGTAGTAATTTTGATTATAGAGTTAAGTGTATGATTTTACCACTGTAATCACACTTGATGTAATTTTCATATAAATAAACTTTCTCTTTTTTTTCAGATTTATATTATCTCTGTAAGAGATTTTGCCAAAGGATCAATGTCTTCGGTAAGACAATATTTATTTTAAAATACTTACTCCCATACATACACATACATGTACACATAGATATGCACACATTTATACCCACTTTGTACTTTGATTTTGGGTTAGTTTATTTTTTTTTGTTTGTTTTGTTTTTTTTTGTTTTTGTTTTTTCTCCGGTACCAGGAACCGAACTCACGACCTTGAGCTTGCCAGGCAGGCACTTTGCCGCTGAGCTAAATCCCCAGCCCCTGGGTTAGTTTATTTTATAGTCTGACTTTAAAGTACTATAGTACCAATAGCACCAAATAGAAAGTGTAATATTTTTTTATGTCTGATAGTATTATATTTGAGTTATATATTTACCTATTACTGTAATTAAGATCTGAGTATTCTGTTGTCTGAAGTATCTGCAATTTTGCATAAGCTGTATGTATGAAGAAAAGTAAAATTAAAAATGTTTGTACTGTATGAAGACATTGAGATTTTTAATTTTAAATTCTTTGAAAATTAATTTCTTTTGATTTTCATCAGTGTGTATTTAAACAGATTGCTGAAATGTAATATGGCAAAATTTTTGAAGAAATTTTTTAGCCAGGTGTAATGGTGTACACCTGTAATACCAGCAATCAGGAGACTGAGGCAGGAGAATCACTGAACTGATGCCAACCTGCGGTACATAGTGAGTTCCATCCAGGTCAGCATGAGTTGCATAGCAAGATCCTGTCTCAAAAAAAATATTTTTACAGCATACTGGTTATAGGTACATTTTGCTTTTTTAAAAAGTAGTTTTGCACATTCATAAAATTTTTTTTTGGTTTTTCTCCGGTACCGGGAACCGAACTCACGACCTTGCGCTTGCCAGGCAGGCGCTTTGCCGCTGAGCTAAATCCCCAGCCCACATTCATAAAATTTTGTTATGGCAGGAGAGAGGTTCCTATTTTTACAGGCAGGCTACTTGTAGATGAATTAAACTATAAAGAAGATGATATATTTATAAAGTTTAATACAGTGTTCTATTTACATTTTTCAACCTGTAGATTTTAAATTTTGAGTTGTAGTGTAATTAAAATTTGATGTTTGGGGAAACTGACTAATAAAGTGTTGATATACTTTTAAAAACCTGATTATCCCTTGAAATTAGTATTCCCCAAAATTGTTGTAGATTGATCAACTTCAAATACTTGATGTATCTGTACAAATAAGGCAGAAGTAAAGAAGCCTCAGAACTGGAAAAAAAATAGTTGTTATGGCTTGTATTTAGGGATCTCCCCAAAGCCTTATGCGGTCATCAGTGGGGATTTCTCAGAGGAGGTTGGGTCTGGAGCATGTGAAGCTGGAATTGATTTGGTGCAGTGCTAGGATGAAGGGCACTAGGATTAAGGGTATGCATGCTACCTGCCGCTAAGCTATAAAGGATAGAAAGAGCTGTGATTGTCCCTTGTTGCTTTGTTACCTTCTTCCCACCATGAGCTGGTTCTCCTCTGTGATGCCTGTCTGCCATCCACCCTGCCTTGGAGCCAGCCACTGTAAGCTAAATAAACTTTTCCTCTAACTTCGGGTGTTGAGTGTTTTGTCTCAGCAATGAGAAAGTGACTAAGAATAGTTTTTCATAAAGTCTGGGTATTCTAAATTAAGTAAATCTCATATACTTTTATTGGACTTTTTTTTCTGGCTCTGGGATGCTTATTTTGCATTTTTAAACTGAACATGGATCTTTTAGCTGATACCAATTTAAAATAGCCAGTTACTGTTTATGAGGCTCTTACTGTTTCCCTGCAAAGATTTTTTTCTTCTTCAGAATGTATTAATGAGTGACTAGTCTATCCATGAATGAGAAGTGCTTTTAGAATGTAGGAAAATTATTTTATTTTCCAAGAATGAAAAGATGACTTTTTCAAATATCATAGGATAATAATTTTATCTTGTCCTGACTTCAGAATTTAAAAGCATTTCACTGGCCAGGTTACATAACCTGAAGGCCCACCATTTGAACCCAGCCTTATCTTGTAATTACCTTTGACTCTTGTAGCCTGGCCATGTACACCTTCTGGACTCTCAAATGTTGAATTTGTTTCCTCTGTTTACAACACTACATTTTATCTCTTTCCCAACTTCTGTTCTTTGCTTCATTGGTAAATTTCTTTACTTTTTCAAGGGGAGAGTGTGTGCAAATACTCTACCACTTCATTTATACCCCAGCCTCTCAAAGGGACTTTCTAAGGCAAACTTTACATAATCGCTTCCTTTTTTCAGTCTGTCTTTCCATTGTATACGGACTCATTGTGTTTATTTACAAATTCAGTTTAGAGTACACTGTATAGTACATGGTCCATTTTTAAAGAAAGTAAGGAAAAACTAAAGAAATCATTGAATTGAACTTACACTGCTTAGTGTCGTTTCCCTCATGGCACTTACATGGTATTTCTTACTGTACTTTATTTTTGTCCACTGGTTAACTTCCTGTACATGGTGTAAGTCACATTTCATGTAATCCATTACTCGCATTTTCTTGACTAGTTTCCATAATGGGCTCTTTTCAGCTATCTGAACGTTAAAAAATATGCATGTCTGTGTGAAATATGAATCTTGCGATGTACATGGATTATGAAAATGCTGTCATATTATCTTTAGTTTCTCATAAGCTCATAGTTTTCTCATGGACATGTTTTAATATCTTAATTTAATATCTTCATTATAATAATAGTTTATGTCCAAGTGACTGTGGACATAAACTATTATTGTAGCAACTAGTCATGTGTAGTTATTACAAGTTAAAATTCAGTTCGTCATTTCCAGTAGTCCTATTTAAATTCCTGAATTACCATAGCGTCAGTATAGAACATTTCCTTTGTCACAGAAGGTTCTGTTGGACAGTGATGTTCTAGTTTTTAAACACTATTTGTAGAATAATAAAATACCTCACCAGGTGTTGCCATAGTAGAAACTCGATCCGTTTATCAGGAGTTGAGAGGGTGTTGTAAAGATATGCTTATTGTCATAGATATTAGAAAGCAAATCTTTCGCATAAGCATTGTAAAACTTTTCAGATCTCTGCTGATATAATATGATGTTCAGTCTCGTGTAAGTGCTCTTCTGTCTCCTGTGCTTCCGTTTTCACGTGTGTTAGGGCCTCCAGAGAGCCTTTGCCGATGACTCTCCCCTCCCGCAGTATGCGTCAATGTACTGACCCTGTGACCAGACACCAAATTTAAGAGAAAAACAACTTAAAGGAAACCTTTAAGGAAAGGAAAAACAACCTAAAGGAAAAACATCTTAAAGGAAATAAGGCTTATTATTTTGACTCTCTTCAGATGGTTTAGTTCATGTTTTCAGATATTTCTGTTCTGGCTCCAAGGCATAAACATTATGGAATAAAAATCACAGCAGGAGGGCATGGCTGATGAAAGCTCCTCACCTCATGGGAGCCAGAGCTAGCAAAGAAGATGCAGAGAAAAAGATACATTCTTCACAAGGGTGCCCCAGTAACCTGCTTCCTCCAGCTAGGCCCCAGTGCCTTTGATTCATGGGCTCATCAATAAATTAATCCATTGACAAAGTTAGTATCCTCATAACCCAGTCAGCTTCCTGGGCTCCACCTCTGAACATTGCTGCATTGGGTGTCAAGCCCTCAGTACATAATCTTCAGGGACTGCATCATATGTAAACTATAATACCTACCCCTACTATATCCTCCAACACACATTTCTTAGCTTAAAACTGATTGAGTGTGCCTCCATAATCCTGTTTTACGGAATGTGCTGCTTTTTTGTCAGCAAGAAAGACAGATTGACTACAAACATAAAAATTATTAGGAATTATATAAGTCTACTTAACATGAGCTTATTGGGAATTATATGTTTATTTACCATGTTTCTGAATATATGCTCACGAGTACATTGAACAAACTTGTAATGACTATGAAGCAGAGATAATTTGTAATGAAAAGTATAGTGAAAAATATAACTTAGTGGCTATGTACACACATACTGGCTGATTTATGTGGAGAGTTAAATTAATAATTAAGCTGGTTTCTTTGGTCATGAATTAACAAGTCCAGTTACATGGATGATTGTAGTAGTTAATCTTCTGGAGCTGTGCTGGCCTTCCCTATTTGTCTATGTATTAGAGAGATACTTACTAGGATAGAATATTGGTAGAGTTATTTTGTCAGTGGAGGCACATATCTTCTCTCTCTTGTTCTTTGTGCTGACCATTTTTTTCTTTCTTTATTGATGAGCTGCTAAGTTTTCTGTATTAAAGTTTGATTAGATTTCTAAGCCCTATTCTTTGTTTGACCTGAGGAATCAGTTTCATTAAAAAATTAATTAATCCATTTTTTTGAGTTTTAAAAACTTTATTTTTCAGAGTGATAGGTACCCTTATTTCCTGTTTGGGTATGGGCTGGGCATGATGATGGATCCTCCCAGCTGCAACTTCCCAGAGTCAGTGTGGTGTTCCTGTCTGTATGACGGGGTAGCCCTATAAAAACTCTTCTTTTCATTCCACACTGAAGCCTAGTTACTTCAGTAACTGATCTTTCTCTCCTCTTATTACGTTTTTATTCATCTTACCCATTTCATGAATCAGAACCTAGTATTTATGCCCCAGTAAAGTCCTTGTAATAATATAGAGAAAAAGAGAAAGAAATTATATCTAAGCTTTAGAAGTGGCATTAAAGATAAAACTCAGGACCAAAATACCTTCCAACTGTTTCGAGAATTCTTTCTGAAAACATTAGTCATCCTCTGTGGTTTCTTTGCCAGAAAAGTTAGGAAAGTTCTAAAAGATAGCTAAATTGTTTTAATTACTTAGAACCTTTCATACCCTTGGAGTATTCTATATGAACTTTTTTTTTCCCTGAAATTATAAGACACAGAATTCTTTATTGATAGGACCAGTATTCTAGTTACCCTTTCAAGGCTTTCAGAAATGATTCATTATAGCTAGTCATTTCCTTTTGAAACTGTTTTCTTAAACATTGAAGATACACTATTTTAAAAGCATTTTCTGTTATTGCTTTAGTTTATTCATTAATTACTGATGTTTTCATATACTGTTTTCTGGTTTCTTACTGAAGTAGTGCAATGTTTAAGTTAAATTATAGGCTTATTATGCTTGTATGGGTTGGTGTGCTAATTATACCACTTATAAACAGTTATTTCTGAAGAAAATATTTGATTTATAATGTGAGCTTTCTACGCTGTGCATTGCCTTTTTCAGGCTATGTCTTATTTTAGACAATTAAAAGAATAAAATATAGTTATATACATTTGCTGATTCATAAGCATGATCCTAATATGACCTTAAAATGTAAATATTTAATAAGTAACTATTGTCTTTTTTTTCTTTAGGTTTCAGTGGCAAATTATACATATACACCCTTGAATCAACTTAAGGGTGGTACAGTTGTCAATGTCTATGGTGTTGTGAAGTTCTTTAAGCCCCCATATCTAAGCAAAGGAACTGGTAGGTACTAAAATTGGTAAAGATTTTATGGATTAGAACTGCATTATTGATTTCAGCAACACAGCTCCTTTAGTACCTTAAGTCCTACTAGAACAGAAGCTCAATTCTCATTTATAATTAACAGAAACATGTGGGGATTCTCTGGTTGTCTTATTTTATAAAACAAACAGTCCTTAAATTCTGGTGCCTCGTTTAATACAGTATGAAAAAAAAATTTTAAAAAGATGCCCGCAATACAAAAGCATATGAAAGTATAAAATTTGACATAGACAGTCCTAAATTATTGTAAAATGGTACATAAATCACTTTTAAGTCTGGTACAGAAGTTGAAAGAAACACAGATGTATTAAAAGTAATGCTACAGAAATGTGTTAATGGATACACAATATAAAAGATATACATGGTAACATCAAAAATTTAAAGTATAGTAAGGGAGAGTTAAAAGCATAGATTTTTTATGTGATTGAAGTTTTTGTATAAGCTTAACATCATTTTTATAAGATATTTCATAAAAACCCCTACCCACAGGAAAATGCACAAAAGAAAATGAGAAAGAAATAAACAATTACCATTACAAAACCTCAACCAAACATAAAGAAGAGAATAGGAGATGTACAGAGGTACAGTCCAGTAGAACAGAATAGCCCAGAAATAAACCTACGTGTGTGTGGCCAGCTGATTATCAACAAGAGTCCTAGTAATGTGTAGTGGGGGAGAGGAGTCTCTTTAACAAATGGTACTGAAAATACTGAATTCCACATGCAAAAGAGTAAAGTTGGATCATCACTTGGCACAAAAGTGATTTTAGAGTGGGTTAAGATTTAATGCCCCCCAAACTGAAACTCCTTGAATAAACCATAGGGAGATAGTTCCTTGATATTGGACCTAGAAACAATTTCTTAGATAACGCTAAAAGCACAACAACAAAAGCAAAAGTCGAAGCAAAGGAAATAATAAGAGTGAAAAAGCAATTCTTAGAGTGGGAGAAAATACTTGCAGACCATATATCTAAAAGGTTAATCTCTAAAAAGCAAAGAATTCTGTCACTAAATAGCAAAAAACGCAAACAAAAACTAAACAACAACAAGAAAAATACAAAAATTAAAAGCAACCAAAAACCTAATATGTTGGTTTGGGGGATATTTTTGCAAGGAAGAACAATATAATACAGGACACATTATATATGATTATTTAGAATAGTCACCCAAAGAATGATATACAAAGGAGTGCCAGAAATCTGTCCACACACCAAGACCAAGGAATCCAGACGAAGGCCTGGATCCCACAGAAGTGTCCTACTTGAGTCCAGCTGAATATCCAGAGCTCATAGCAGTGCCTCCCATGGATCCAACTAGAGGCCCAGAGCCCATGATAACATCTCATGCAGGCCTGCTTCACAGATCTGCAGTGGGAAGGCCCAAAGATTAGTGGTGTAATCCAAGAAGTCTGTGCCAGCGGGATGAAAGATCTTTGCCAGCAGGCCGAAGCATCCACTTTGGAGCCAGGAAGCCACGCTCAGAAGAAACAGAACTCCCCCGAAAGCATCACAGCCATCCTCAGCAACAGTGAGGTCCCGAGCTCTTCCGATGATCAAGATGGCTGAGTTCCCATCAGGGAAGCCAATGCAGCAAGGAGACCGGCAGTGCGCCATCTTCTCCTCTGGTGCCAGGAAGTGCTGCTCAGAGTGAGGACCAGAGCTCCCCCAAAGTGAACCAAAGCCATTCTCAGTGTCAAGGAGGTCCCGAGCTCCTCAGAGGATGAAAACAGCCAAGTTCGTCAGGAAAGCCAGCATGACAAGCTCCTCCAAAACAGCCAGCAGCTCCTTACAGCCTCTACCAGGTCCAGACAGCCTCTCTCAGCTCCCAACAGCATCCTTCTTCTTTCCCAGGCCTGCCTCCTAATGTTGCTGGCAACAGTCCTCAGGTGGGCCTCCCACACCCAGCACCACACTTAACTCAGTTCAGCTGGGGGTGTAAGTTGACCAACAGTTATCAATCCACTACACCTAAAACCTGGCCAAAATCTGGTGATTTGAATAGGCATTTCTTCAAAGAAGTCAGTCACATATAAAATGTGCAGAGATGCTCAGTGTCACTGATAATTAGGGAAGTGGAAATCAAAAGCACAACGATGTGTCACTGTGATACTTCTTAAGGTGGCCATCAAGAACAGAGTAACAGTTGTTGGCCAGGATACAGAGAAATTGGAGCCCTTGTACACTGTTGTGAGACTGTGGAATGGAGCAGCCATTGTAGAAAATGAATTAAGTTTCCTTAAAAATAGAACTGCCTTGTGGGTCAGCAGTCTCACTTCTGGTATGCATCCAAAAGAATTGAAATTAGGATCTCAGAGATACCGCACTCCCATACCCACTGTAGCATTATTCACCGTAGACAACTTGTGTCAGTCAGGGTTAAATAGGAAAAGAACATGCAGCATATACATGGAGTTGAACATTGTTCTGCTTCCAGAAGGAAGGAAGTCCTGCCATATAAGCCATTCAGATATAAGAGATCTGAATCAGAGTCATAAAAGTAGAAAAGAACTGTAGATCTCATATTGCATATTTTTTACTCCACCCCCTAAAAAGGATAAATGAAGCAATTACAATGTTGAGATTAGACTTCTAGGTGAGTTTTGATCTATAGACCTGGATAGTTTTCAAAGTAATGTATAGCTTGCTATGTGATACTGTAAGACATTAGAAAAACATGTATAAGAGTGCATCAAACATCAGAGACTTCCGTTTATCAGGGGATGATAAAAAGTAAGCAGAAAAACACTTCACCTCAGTTTAATCCAGTATTTCACCTCTTTGAAAACTCTTGTCATTGCTTAAAGGCACTATTTTATGTGTTACTAAGAACAGAAAATACTGCCAATTAAAGTAACCCTTTTAAAAAAAGAAACACATATTTTAGAGATGTTAAAAATGTGAAGTCTTGGGTGCTACTGATGAAATACTGTCTTTATGTACTGCATACCAGGAGCTGTGGTCATGCTGGTAATACAGTAATGTTCTCATTGAGTTCATAGTACACAGACCTTTTACTTATAAATATATGCATATTTTATTGAAGAATAAATTGGAAATCTACTCTTGTGGTGACGGAGGCAATCTCATTTTCATGTGGTCAACATACTTTCGTAAAGTACAGTATAAAAGGTGTACTCTGAAAACGTCAGTGTGAAGGCTACTCCGGAGATAAACTTGATATGGATTTCAGATTAAGTCTGGAAAATCCTCATGTATTAGAAATGTATACTAAAATATAACCATCAAAACAAGAAAATAGGAGATTGGAAGGCATTCACATCAAAACTAAGCAGAGATATTTTTATTTAAATGTATTTTTATCAGCCAGGCATGGCGGCACACACCTGTGATCCCAGAACTTGGGAGGCTGAGGCAGGAGTTTTACTAGGAGGAGGCCAGCCTGGGCTACATGTTGAGTTCAAGGCCAGCTTGGAATACATAGTGAGACCCTGTTTAAAAAAATTAAATAAATTTTTCTCAAATTTTTTCATTCCAACTTTATTTTTCCTTGAACTTTACATTCCTCCACTCCTTCCACATAGACTCCTCATTTCATTCTGGCAGTCTTTTCTCACTCCCAAAGTTTTCCTCACATCTTACATGTGAAGAATAAGGGTATTAGACACAATGGTATAATCACCACAATCTTCTTAAAGAACACATTGTCAGTTTTACCTGGTTGACTTTAATTGGCCTGCCAAGTTTAAGAGAAGCTATATTACTATCAGTATTGTCCATCATGAGTAAATGATGTAATTTAAAATCTCTTTTGGTACCTGGTATGTTGTTAATTCTTGTCTTTGAAACTTTAAAAATAAGTTGTTCGTCATATATATCATTTTCAGAAACAATCAAAAAATGGTAATATAGAATGAAATGATAGCCGTTTTAAAGACTCATGACTGTATTCATTTATTAGACAACATATTCATGTTTCATTGATGTTATTAAGTCATGAATAAAATGAAAGCCACAGAGAACTAATACTTATTACTTTATGCATACATCTGTTATGTTATTATCAGATATGTTTAGTTGAATCCAGTCTTAGTAAAAAATTTGTGGCTAGTAATGAACCATCTGTTATTACAGAGACAATGTGTTTCTTTGTTTCTTCTTAGGTACTAAATTAAATAAATGTGATCAGTTTTATCTGAGCATAGTCATTGAAACTTTAATTTCCATGTTTCACACACAGCAAGATGTCTCTTTTACTACTACCAAGACAGTAAAATTTTAGAACTATCCATCTTACAGCTTTAGTTACAGTTACATTTTTATTTCTGTTGATAGAACTCATCCTTCAACAGGAGCAAATGCTACAGGAAAGTCAGGCAGCAGTGATAACTTATTTTCAGGAAATGATCAACTTCATTAATATTACCCTAGGAAAATACTGGTGTGAATATGTAGGAACAGCTATGCTTTTGTAAAATAGTACATAAAACAGTGTTATTTCACAAACACAGACCCACAATATCGATTACATCCAGATGTATATAACTAGTTAGATAGAGAAAAATCATCTTTATGCAGTTCAGATTTACCAGTAGATATATGGGGATAAGTTTATATTATGTTAGACATCACTAGCTAGACTTTTCACTAAAATTCATTTCATAAATGTTAAATTCAGTGCAGAACAGGCAGTTAGATATAATTTGCTATCCTTACTCCTTGATTAAAAATTTTCCTGAAGACATTCTTGTCATACTGAGTACTAGTGGTTACATATGACTGGCAGCATATTGCAGTATCTTCGTTTTGGTGAGCAGTCTTCATCTGTAGCATATACATCATTTCCTGAACCCTACAGTCCTAGAGAGGTTATCATTTTTTAATCTTTCAAAAGGCTGCCAGTTCTGTTAAGGATATATGTTACTGCACTAACATTCTTAATTGTAGTAAGATTCATCATGAATACAGAAAGAATTCCCCGAGGATTATAGAATTGCCATGTATT